GCAGCAAACTAATGGAGCCTGGTTATCTACTGTCCTGCACCCTTATCAGAGTAACTACAGCTTGTCAAGTGTCCTCTATAAGCTTGTGCCAAAAAAACCCCAATCCCTCTCACATTTCCACATCTCCCCACAATTTCCTCACCTTCTTCCCCTGTCCCTCAACTAGTGCCTTCCTCATTTCCTAACCTCGCCAGTCCATAGCACTGTATTCTCCCTCCCATACTTTCTCCTAATTACCCTCAGGACAAGCAGTACTACCTGCTGCGGCTGGCACAAGCACATAAGCACTGATCAGCTAGCCAGTATGCCTATGCCAACACACTAGTTAACAGGCAAAACACAAGACAACCATTGAACTCATCCAGCACCTCTCCTCCTGAGAAGAAAAGGCATGCATTTATTTTGTTTTCCTCTCCTCCACCCAGAGGCTGATCTCTGTGGAACTTTAAAGAGCTCCTGAAGAAACTTTGAGATGCCAAATTTGGCTGAAATCTACTAAAGTTGTTAAAATGGAATTGATAAGAGTGATTACACAAGCTTTCTTTCCTTTGGAAAGTAGGCTAAAAACCCATTAACAGTCTTACTTATGTCATCCCTTCATTCCCATTCTTCATTTAAAAATAACAATTCTATTCTACTGCATTAGCTTATGTAACCCACCCCTGAGCTGAAGTAGTTGAAACTTTCGGTCTGGATTTATTAAGTGTGTGTGCCTCTATAGGTTTGTCCATTTTAAGGGGCTTGGTATTATGAAAAATAATGGTGAGAAGACAGTGAAACCAAATAAGCTTCACTAATGGCTATCCCCCAAAGTTTCTGGACTGGTATCATTGCAAGCAAGAACTGAACTGCTTTTTCACTAGCAAGCTGTCAGCTGTTCTCATGGTTACAGATCTAGGAATTTGGAATGACAGGTCACAGTTATGAGAACAAGTAGATTTATTTGGCATGTTTCTATCTAGTAAATAACATTCTCCTTTAAAGAGGACAAGAGGCTGCTGTACATTATCATGGTGTTCATTCTCTGTGAAAACCACTTTTTAAAGTCTCTGTCCCAACAAAGAAGGTGCTAACCAGACTTACGTATTTCTTAAAATTGCTCACTCACAGAATGAAGACAAAAATATATCACTCTTGCACTCTCTCCATTACTATAAATGGACCACTGGTGCTTTCACTGCAAGATTCAACTGTGTATATACACTTCCCAGATGGCATGAAGCAAGGGTAGAAAAGCACACTTCCCATTTAAATGCAAGGGAAGGCAGGGATGTTAACTGTTGTCATAGGGTAAAATCTATTCTGTCAATTGGCTATTTAAAAAATAACCAATAATTTTTTACTAAGTTAACTGCCAAGATTTGTGAAGCTCCAGCTTTGGTGTTATGCAAATTACATTAACACAGCTATGCGCAATTGGTTTTCACAGAACCACAAGTTCAGCTAACAGGACAGCTGCAGAACAGCCTTCTCTCACGCTTACGACTCTTGATTGCTGGAGGGATCTTCCTCCAGGAAAGCCAGAGCAGTCCAGTTTCCAAAGCCTCTGTTAATTACTGCAAAATGAAATGTGGAACTTGTGCTGAGGAACTGAACACTTACCCGCTCAGCTTCTCTGAAAGGTGGGCCCGTCTAGATGCAAACAGCATTTTGTCCCTGCTGAGCCAGGCTGGAACTGTACTGTAATCATCGGTCCCAAGGTATTCACTCCCCTCAACAGAGGCCCTAAGGCTCCATGAAAATGCCCATATACTGTGCTCAGAAAGAAACAAAAATTTAATGTTGTCATGATGTGCCAATTCATCCAACCCAGAATGCTCTGTGAAACGCGTAACTGAATCACTCATCCTCTTGGAGAACTCTCTGTTTTCCTAGAGAGCTGCCAGGGAGAACCATCCTCCAAGAGGGACAGCACTCCTGGGCTTACCATTCCAGGATTTAAGGCTTCAGAACTCCAGGGCAGCAAGCCCTGCACGCAGAGGAAGAGCTCCAGAGTTTCCCCGTCTCTCACACAGGCCTGCACAGGTAGCTTGAGAGCCCACAATATTTCAAAGACCCAACTGAGTCTTGATTTCCAAGTCAACAGTAGAGGCCTCCAGCCGAGAGGCCTGAGAGGGCCTTCTTCAGCTTAGGTCTAAAGTTCCTGGGTCTGCAGATGGAAGCCTTGAAGCCCTGATAACAGGAACATTATCAGAACTTCTACTCATGCAGTTGAAGACCTGGGCAAGTTTCCAAGGTCCCTGCTAGGCACTGGGGAGTCTGGTAGGCTTGACAGTCCAGCTGTCCTCTGAGCTCTGGTCTGAACTTAGTCATAAGGTGCCAGGCTCCAAATTAATTTCTAACATTTCTGAAGAAAAGTCTAAGGAAATTCCAATACCAGGGAATGTCACAATTTCCCATGAACTAGGGAACACCAAGTTTGGCCTACCTCTGATTTCAGTTTCCTTCACAAAAGTCTCTATCCTTTGTGTTCCACTCTGAGAACGAGCCTTCATCTATTAAAATGCATGTACTAAAAACAATAAATATGAACAAAACGTGCCGATTTGCCTTTAAATAGAATGTTCAAAATATAAAACCATTCCTTCAGTTATCCTCAAATTTCTAGCTATTTTCACACGTATGTGCCTGCCTTGAACCCAAAACCTTTCATTCTAAAACACGCTTATTCATACTGCGCAGAAAGGACATACCTTGTAATGTTGAGCCCATAGAGGTTCAAAGCAGAGACTTCTACTTTGGCACGCTATGTACTCACTGCTTCACTAAAGAAACAGCATTTGTAAAGACCGGACGGCTGAGTGTAGGGATCACTAGTATCACGGCATTGTCCAGTACCGAAAGACATCAAACACAAGAACAAGCCTGTCCTGGTCACCTCCAGGTATCAACAAGCACACAGTGCAGCCACCCGAGATGAAGGGCAGTGTGCCCGACCACAGGTCAAAAAGCAGATTCCCAGGATTCGAGCTCTCAGTGGGTAATGCAGCAGGGAAAGGAGGGATGAACTACATGAGCACGCATTAAACAGATGAAAGATTTGGCCCATTTAATGTATTAGACAGTGTCGTAAAGTTAGTGATACTCAGTTCTGCTGTTTTAGAGGTATCAGTCCCAGGTCTGGTTTGCCAACTTGCCACCAAAGTGATAACAAGATAAAGAACATCAGTCAGAACACAGGCTCTTGGTGGGCAGTTTGCCCCATCTTTCGCTATACTGCAGGTTTTTTTCCCTATACTGCAGGTAAGGAAAAGTAAGTCGGCCATTAAAAATGTAAAGTATTTTAGCAGTTGAGCGAATACTTACTTTACCAACAAGATATTAAAAAATTCTGCAGCCACACTAAACTTGGGAAACCTGCAAAAACTTTTTCCAAAAACTGAATTCTCATAATACTACTGAAGTTCTCAATTGCCCTACACACCTAAATGAATAGGACATTCTCTCAGAGTTTAAAGTACTCATAATACAGCTGTTTTTAGATTATCTATACATCATTGTTAAAGACCTTTAATTTAAAATTTTCTTCTATTGTCATTAAAATATGGCTAAAAGCTTTTCCAATTCTGCAGTGCCTAGAAACTTCATATAATTTAAAAGTAATACCACTCACATCCACTTATGCTGTATGTTTTAGATACATGCATGCATCTAAAGCATACAGTTTTAATGAATGATTTAAAACTCAATACTGCATACAATACCAGTGACTTCAGAGATGCAGAAGCAAAACCTTAAAGGCAGCATGGCTTCTTGCCTTAAGAACAGTTTTTGCTTCAGACTGTATTCAGACAAGTTAATCAGATGTCATGACGCCATCTCAGAGTTCTCTGCATTGTTAAAGTGTTACCTCTAAATTCTTGTTCCCTATTAACCACGGATACAGCCTGTGTACTGCAGTAGCAAGGATGTTGAGTCAAATGATCCAAAAGCCCTTTTCCACCTTTCATTTCTATTCTTCTGCTACTTTCAGAAAATACCCACAGCATAGCATGTATTTTAGAAAAGAAAGCCAAATAGCAATACAGTAGTAATTGTCTCCCCCACACACCAGACTCTTTCTCGGGATCAAAAGTACAAATTAGGTAGTATTATTATCAGTTTCTAGATATGCCATGACAAAGTACAAAACTTTTTTTTTTTTTAAAACCGTGCCACAAGTTGATGCAAACAAAACCAGTGTTGCACACAGCATTTTAGCTCTTGTACTACGCCTCCTCTAAAGTAGTAAACCCACAATTACCATGAGAAAAGTCCAGCTGGAGGTATCACCTACAAGTTGCATTACTTCTTGCTTATACATTTTTTCAAAACATATGTTCTGCTTGAAAACAATTCAGTGCCAATGAGCTGGCAGCAGAACAATTTCAGTTGTGGTCTCAATAAAGGTAGGAGGGGGAATTCACTAAAGCAACACATTTCAGTTACAAAACCCCAAGAAGCATATCAAAAGGAGCCAGGCAAATAAATATTAAAAGATCATGAAAAAGCAACTAAGTATATGCCTTTAAAAGTGCACTTCATGGATGAAAGCTGCCAAATTACAGAGGGGATTTGCCGAGAAGAATGGTGTTACTGCCAGAATGGACAAAAGCATGCATTCTACCCATTCCAAGCTCCTCCCCATCTCCTGTCATGCTCACAGCAAGAAGCAGCTCAAAAATTGACAACCACAGACTCCAGGACTGGAAGAGACAAAAAATACCTGCTGGTAAATGCCTGGAAAAATTTTATTTTGAAGATCTGATAAAGGAGACTGGAAAAAAAAAAAACAAAACCAAAAACAAAACACAAAAAAACAACCCACTTAGGATCAGAAAACATCGCCCATATTCTTGGGACATCAAGCACAATTTCACAGCAGAAAGGAAACAGCGCACACCTGGCCGGGTTTTAGACGAGCCAACGTGCAAGCAGCGTTTTTCAAACAGGCGCAGCAACCGCGCTGCTGCTGGCCCCAAGACAGGAGTTTCCCGGAGTTTGCCCGGAGTTGGGTCACACTGGTTGCTGTCCTCGCCGTGCTCCAGGTGCACGATGCCCTGGCTCCTGCCCTCCGTGTCGCTCAGCACGTCGTCCTCCGAGTCCTCCAGGAGGGACGAGGAGCCCGTGGAGGAGAGGGAGGAGGTGGAAAGCCTGCGGGACTGCAGGTGCAGCGAGCTGTCCGTCCTCAGCCAGCCGCCCTCGGGGTGCGGCGGGGGCGCCTGGGGGCTGCCCTGCGCCTCCTCGCTCTCCTCGGTGGTGACGGTGAGCCGCGGGATGACGGGCGGCAGCACCC